TTATTAGATGAGGTTAAAGTTACTTTTACCTTATTCAATGTCTACCATTTATTCAATGTTCACCAAGCATCAGGAACTAGAGAGTGTTTTGCATGTATTATTATTTATAAGAACTGAAAGCTTAAAAGTCTTGGCGTGAAAATAGTTACATAATGTAAAAATTAACTAAACCCTATTAAAACTGTAATTCAGAAAATTTAAGGGACACAAGGTTCTACAAATATAAGAATAAATTGCCAGCTCCTCCCCCTAAACACCCAAAGTTCTCTTCATTTTCTATACACAAGACCATTTTCACTACTACCAGGTCATAAAGTCAGAGATACTATGTGGGCTTCAGGAAATCCTGACAGTTTCTTCTCTCTCTCATGTGTGTTTGCTCGTTCTCTCTCTCACACACAAACACACATCTTCCTTCTATAAATTCAAAAAATAGATAAGTATGAATATGGATTTAAAAAAAAAAAGGTCAGCGGAATAACATCATCTTGCCAATTGCTTCAACACCTCAATTTCTGGCTATTCCAAGAATGCTATTACACAATATGAAATCAGCAAAGCTTGGCTTCCGCGTTTTTTCCCTGTAGAATTATGGCATACTTGGCATTACCATACATTTCCTGGTGAAGTAAAAATGTGCAGAAGAAATGAAGGTACTGGTTGAGCACCTGTAATCTAAAAATCGGAAATCCAAAATGCTTCAAAATTTGAAATGTGTAAGCATCAACATGATGTCACATGGGGGAAAATCCCATATTTGACCTCATGTGACAGGTCACAGTCAAAATGCTGCAACACAAAAATACTGCATAAAATACCTTGAGACTACATGTTCAAGGTATTGCATGTTTAGACTTGGGTCCCATCTTCAAGATATCTCATTATGAAATCAGCAAAGCTTGGCTTCTGCGTTTTTTCCCTGTAGAATTATGGCATACTTGGCATTACCATACATTTCCTGGTGAAGTAAAAATGTGCAGAAGAAATGAAGGTACTGGTTGAGCACCTGTAATCTAAAAATCGGAAATCCAAAATGCTTCAAAATTTGAAATGTGTAAGCATCAACATGATGTCACATGGGGGAAAATCCCATATTTGACTCATGTGACAGGTCACAGTCAAAATGCTGCAACACAAAAATACTGCATAAAATACCTTGAGACTACATGTTCAAGGTATTGCATGTTTAGACTTGGGTCCCATCTTCAAGATATCTCATTATGTGTATGCACATAACCCGGAGTTTGAAAACTCCAAACTCTGAAATAATTCTAGTTCCAAGCATTTTGGATAAGGGATAGTCAATGTGTATCACAGTGGAAGATAAAGGTAGTCCAAGCATTACTATATAGCTTGTTTACGAACATTTTTTAGAAGATAATTTTCTGGTAGAATAACTTTCCTTAATGCTAGACAAGCAGCTGAAATCTAGAAAAACTTCATCTTACAATTAGGAAGAAAGTCATACTCTCATACCATTTCATATTGGGAAATGTATATTATGAGTCTGTGTAAACTTACACAGATCAGGTGTGTGTATCTCACAGGTGTTTAACACCTTTTATGTCTCTTTTTTGAGGCATAAGAGAAACCTCAATTTTTAAATTGTTTCTTAAAAATCAGAAGAGGCAAGTATAATGGGTTAAATTCAAATATATTTTTTCAGTTCTTTCTTTAGTACCTTATTTAGTACCTTATTAAGGATTTTAAAATGCTTATTTTTGAAGTATGTGTTCTGTATTGGAACTTAAGTACAGTTTCATGAAATCAGTTCAAAAGTCTTTTTTATTTCACAGTAGTAATTTGGGGACAATAAATGATAAAAAATCTAGTCTGTCACTCACTGTCCAAAAATTCGATAAGTAGCTCCCTCTCCTGGAAAAAAAATGTGAGCTCCTCCTTAAGCTCTTAAAACACATATTTGTATCCTTAAATTTTTTTTTTTTGAAATACATGAAATAAAACAGAGACAAATTTGAATTTTTCTCAGTATCAATTAAGATCCTAATATTATCATAAACAGCTATGAACAGTTTTGTGGAAACTTGTATAAACATTAAAAATATACAGTTTACTTACCTTTAGATTAATTCCTTATTTAGTACCTTATTAAGGATTTTAAAATGCTTATTTTTGAAGTATGTGTTCTGTATTGGAACTTAAGTACAGTTTCATGAAATCAGTTCAAAAGTCTTTTTTATTTCACAGTAGTAATTTGGGGACAATAAATGATAAAAAATCTAGTCTGTCACTCACTGTCCAAAAATTCGATAAGTAGCTCCCTCTCCTGGAAAAAAAATGTGAGCTCCTCCTTAAGCTCTTAAAACACATATTTGTATCCTTAAATTTTTTTTTTTTGAAATACATGAAACAAAACAGAGACAAATTTGAATTTTTCTCAGTATCAATTAAGATCCTAATATTATCATAAACAGCTATGAACAGTTTTGTGGAAACTTGTATAAACATTAAAAATATACAGTTTACTTACCTTTAGATTAATTAAATCATAATGAACATCATGCTTTAATTTTCTATGCAACAACCTTTGGACTTCAACACTGAATTATAAGATTCCTTTCATTTTAGTGGTTTTACACTATCACCAATCCTCAAATACATAGTACATACTTCTTAACTCATAATCTTTCACCAAAGACTTCAAGTGGTTCTATGAAGTACCAGCTCTATGAAGATCTTATTTTAAAATAACCCTTTCCATTCTGTTTGCTTATTCATCAGGTTAAAAAAAAATATGACTAACTAGTACTAAAGACTCCAAATTTATATTTCACAGTATGTAATTAGCTATAAAGTATCAGTACTATTCCTGGTAAATAGGTTGTCTAAATTAAAAATGCGACTCACAAATGTCACACTGTACAATGTTGACGCATCTTTCCCACATACTGAAAACTAATTTTTCTGTTGTAACCCATCTATCCACCTACTCAGTAATTTTGTCACTAAGTTTCAAGTATAAGAAAATAATTGTGACTTTAAAAAATAAAGTTGTCTATCACTAAAGATGGAAACAGACTAAATTAAGAGAGAAAAGTTAATCAGAAAACAAAATACAAGCATGCTTGACTATCTCAAGCATAAAGCAAACTGAAAATGCTAACAGAACCTCAAACTTCATAAAAGCTTTGAACAAAGCAGATTCTCCAATTTGGAGGACATGACTATGTTTACAAAGTTGTTAAAATGTTCATTTTAAAATTAGTTGTTTCTAATATATCAATGCTCAAAATCTCTGATAAGAATCCTTCCATAGGAAGCAGTATTTTAAGTTTAAGAAATGTGTATTACTAAACTAGTTCCCTACTTCATTTTTGGGTCCCAGAGAATTTGACTTCAGCAAACTACACTGCTAAAGCCTTCCCTAGGCACCAACCTTGCTAATATAAACAAGGTTTCTATTTCTCATATTGAAAAGATAGCTTAAATGGGGGGGGGGAGTCATTTTAAATGTGTTAAAATGTTAACAGTGCATATGTATCATACACTCTACCTTTGCAGACTGACTAGTTTTGAAACCATTGATAAAGTACATTTCTCAGAATGAAGTTTAGCAGTTTTATACATCATTGACTGTTAGAAGATATTGTAGTATTTAACATATAATCTGTGCTTTAACTCATTGCATGTCTTATACCACCTTAAAATTCAGAGACCCACACTAAAGTTTGCTGGAGACGAAGTAATTGTGTTATTTGAACTAATCAAATAATGCTGTTTTTTCTAGCATACATAACAGTGGATATTGAGAAAAAATATAAATAACCACACATATTCATATACTCTAGACTTTAAAAAAAAATCTGTCACGTTAGCCGTCAATAACAGTTTTAGCATAGAATGGGTGTGTAGTACACTAAAATTACTTGTGATTGATTTCAAGTCACCTTTCCGCGCTTGTATTTGAAATACAGAAAAACTGACGTGGAAAAGGAGCCTGGTAACTTTTCCTGCAGTTACCAGGAGGGATCACAAACCCACAGTCTCAACATTGTCAAAGGGACACCACACTTAAAGCTGGGTGGAAACACGCAAGAACTCAAGGAACTGCTCCAAAGGTAAATACATTTGTTTTCTGTTTTCTTTGTACTGTCATCAGTAAAATGATTCCATCCTATTCCACCAGAAGGCACGTTTACGTTCAAAATAAAGTCAGAGGAGAGCAAATAATACAATTAGGCAAGAGGCAGAATCTCCTTCCCCAATTTCTTTCATCTCCTAGTTTCAGCCAGATTACCAGCTGAATAGGGCAGGTCACAGGATCAGGATAAAAATGTCCGTCTTGGCCTTAAACCCTGCCAGCCCTAAATCCAACACTGCTTTACTTTTTCCTGTTTATAAGATTTTACCCCCACCCAAAGCCCAGCTCAGGGATTAACCCCATCCCTGACCACTGTCCTGTTCTCTGACCTTCTGTTCCTCAGCCTGTCCCCGAATTAGCTGCCCGACTGACTGCCAGGTGAACGAGCTAAGAAATAAGACAAAGGCAGACTCGGGGGCTGGAGTTAGGCCCGCCACAACGGACAGTAAAGACAAGAGCAATCCCGTAGAAAACCACTTGCGAACAACTAAGAAAAGTCCAGGGGGCTGGTGAACAGCCTGCGCCGTGGCCGTGCCAGCCTCCGCAGATAAAAGCAGAAAGGCAGAGGAGAGGGGAAGGAAACTCGCTGGAGAGACATTTTGGGAGCGTACGAGACGCACTCCCTCTGGCGTTGAAGGACCCGCAATCAAATCCGAGATGCGCGGTGTCTAGGTGACAGGAGCTGACTCTCCATCAGCCGGGTCGCCCTCCGCAGTCCCGCACAGCCCCTGCCCCCCACCCCCAGCGCCGCCCCCTTCCCACGCCTGCAGCCCGGTCCGGCCCGGCCGGGTCCAAACTGGCAGCGAGCGCGGGCGGAGCCACTTCTCCAGACTAGCGTCCCCACGCGCGGCCGCTCCGGGTAGGACGCCCCCCGCCCGGGCTCGGGCTCCGCACCTACCTGTAGCACCAGCGGCTCGGGGTTGAAGGCCAGGGTCAGCAGAAGCTGCATGCGCTCCGAGTCCTTGAGGTTGCGGAGCAGGAAGCTGCCCGAGTCCTTGGTCTCGGCGTAGCGGCGCACCAGGCGGTCCAGCAGGCGCTGCGAGGGGCAGTGCACCAGGTCCGACCAGCCCTCTACAGCCTCGGGCGTGAGCAGGCGCACGTCGCCGTTGAGGCGCGCGAACTCGGTCCGGGGCATGGCCTGGAGCAGGTCGCAGCGGGGTCGGCCGGTGGCCCGCTTGCAGATGCTCTGGTCGAGCTGCGCCAGCTCGCGCTGCGAGCCGAGGCGCTTGAGCACCACTCGGCGGCGGCCGCCCTCGCGGGGCTCGCCGTACTGCGCGAAGTAGACGTTCTTCACGTTGAGGAAGTCCAGCAGGCGCAGGCGGCCCCACGCCTCGAACACCACCTGCCCGTTGAGGAAGCGGCGGCACCAGCTCGTGCCAAAGCACGCCGGGCACTTATTGAGCTGCAGGAAGCGTCGGTCGGCCAGCTCGTTGCGCTGCCAGGAGGCGAGCAGCGACGGCGAGTGCAGCACCATCAGCACCAACAGGCTGGCCCGCGCCGCCCGCGTCAAGCGGGGGCCTACGCCTCTAGCTTGGAAAAAACGTGGCCCTTCCATTATGCTCCATCTTTTTCACTTAATTAATGAATACATTAATTCAACTTATCTATTCACTGATTTTTTAAAATAAATAATGATGAAGCGCCTGCTAAGTGTTAGACACTGTGTTACAAGCTGGGAATGCAGTGGAAAGAAGAATTGGTTCTTCCAGGAGCTTATGGTGCTCAAGCCCCACATGCCCATCTTAGCAGGAAGTGTCTATTCTACCCTCTCCTCACCCCCATCTTGCCACTGTATTCTCCCATGAAATCTCATGGGCCTTGGTCATTTTAGTAGTGGAGCTACTTCACCCTGCAGCCTATTAATGTAGAACCAGATTAGTTTGGGATTCAGGAGGCTGGATTCTAGTCCTATTTCTGCCTCCTATTCTCTATCTGATCTTAGTAAATTCCATTCATACATGGGAGAGAATGAATATATGAATGTACGTTATGTCAAATCTTGGCTCCCCTACTCACAAGCTGTGTGTCCATGAGCAAGTTGCTTAACCACTCTGTTCCTCAGTTTTATAATATAAAAAATAGGATAATGGAAGTCTTTAAGATAAATGTATGTGAAATGTTTAGATGTATTGGTTTATAAAAAAAACACTTAGGGGCCAGCGGTGGTATGGTGTTTAAGGGGACTGGATCTTTTAAGGCCAACGGCACAGTTTGATTCCTGGACCTGGCAGCTTGAGAAACATGCTAGGTGCGTGTGCATGTGAGCCCAAAATCTCAGGAAGAGAATGGAGGAGAAGGGATTGCGGTGTGGCCACCTCCCCTAGAGGGTGATTTTTCGCTTCCTCTTTCTCTCTTTGTCTCTCTCCAGCTACTGTATATGTTCTGTTGCAAAATTTAACGGGGGCGGCTGGCGGGAGCTCGCGCCCCCGGGCTCGCGCGCCTCACGGGAGGGGGCGGGGCCTGCAGAGGCGACGCCGGGCCAGGCGTGAGTTGTCGCGGACCAGGTGGGAACTTCGACTCTGGGGTCAGATCTGTGGGAGCGTTTTAAATCTCACGGAAAGAAGAAAGTTTTCAAAACACTGAGGTGGATGGGAAATATCAATAGAATGAAGGCGAACCGACGTGGAGATGAACCATGTATAGGTTTGCTTTTGCCACCCACTTGCCTCCTTAGCCCGGCGGGGAAGCTGTGCCCTAGCGCTGGGCGAAGTGACTTTCCAGGCGCCGCCGCTCAGGGTCCCCAAGGTGCGGGCTGGCCTCGCTGCGCCCTGTCCCCGCGCAGGCCCTGCAGGCACAGAGCGTTGCTGGGGCAGTATCCCTGGGGACCTGGGGCCACCTGGTGCTTTACATTGGCATGTTGGCTGAGTTTCACACCAGGCTGCAAAGATCGCTTGGAAATGCTGAGCTAACCCACCTTGTGCAAGTTTTAGAGGGCCCGACCGCTAGCAGGACCTTCAAGTACAGAGTAAAAATGCTTTTTACTTTTTACTTTCTTTATGCCTTTTTACTTTTGTAATACTTTTTTATTTTTACTTTTTGCTTTTTAGCTCTAAAAGTGAGAAGTGATTGTTAGTCTCAGGGATAGATAGTTCTTGATACGTAATTAAATATCTGGGTCTAAACTAGGGTAGTTTTAGGAACTGAACAGTAATTTTAGAAGACCCTACAAGCTGGCATGTATTGGTAATTCTTTATAGAGAATTAATGAAAACGTCTATGCTGGATTAGCAAATACATCGTTCGGTGTTTTTTGATTGTTAACAGGTGCAGCCATCCTTTTCAAGAGCACTTTTAAAGTTAATGGCCTTTGTGATAGAAGAATTCAAACTTAGAAAGAAAATTGGGGGCCCATTTACTAAATATATTCAACAAGTAAGTGATTCTTCAATGATACTAAGTTGAATGCAGACAAATTGGAAGATTCCCTCTTAGAAACCTTGTTCAAAGTGACTGCTTAAGTTTGGCTGCTGCAACAGCTCTCTCCCTCCTATGGCAGAAATTTGATGTAACTGTTTTTAAGCATTCCCCAGAATTTACACCATACAGAGATAAGAGCAAAAAGAAGGCTTCTTAGAAAACGTTTGATTTAAAAAAAAAAAAATTGTGGCATGAGTGATGTAGAGACCTGTGTGGGCGGTAGATACTGCTCAATTGTAAACAGGCAAGTTATTACTAAATTATAAATTTCTTATTTCTGATATCTTTTCTACCTGCCTCAGAGATCTGTTGAATTAATGTATGTGCTACTGCTTTAAAATACTAAAAGAACTACATAAATGTTTATTTTTATAATTAGAACTAGTGATTCCACTGACATTCTTGCTGGTAAACTGGTTAAGCTAAGAGACTGAGGGCATAGTGAGAATCTATTTAGGTGACCAGTAACAGGATTAAGGAGGTACTGCCTCTCAGTATAGAAAAAGTCTTTGGAGTTCATAAACCATTCTCAACCTCCAAATCTTGGACTTGTATATGCATCATTTTGAAGAGTGGAAATAAAAAGATTACTAGTCTATAGTGGTTCAATTTTGGAAAATATTTGCTTTGCATCTAAAAAGCTTATATGTGTGTAAAAGCTCTGATATTTTCAGCTAAATTTTCTAGGAATTTATTGAGGAAGATAGTCTTCAAGAACTTAATGCATTCCTCAAAAGGAAAAAAAGGTCTTAGAACCATGTGAGATAAACTCATAGTACTCTAAAGTATGATATTAAAATTTGGTTAAAAAAAAATCAGTAAGTGAAAGGTAATATACATTGCTCACCTTTCCCGTTCATTACTGGGTGCTTTCAGCTAGTAGACCATAAACTAACATCTAAAGTTCTTGACTGTTATTTCAAATAACATAATTTCCTGTGCACTGTAAAATATCTTATAATAACTGTTGCCTTTTTAAATGTATCCAATGGAATTGAATAACATAGTATTTTGATAGCAACAATCAATTTTGATAGTCAAAGTTTTACAGTGTTTTGCTCTTCTGGCTGCTACAGTAGTGGTTCTTGATAGGGACTGTTAACCTTCCAAATGTCTGAAGACATTTTGGAGTTATAACTGGGTAGTGGGATGCCACTGGTATATAGCAGAAAGAGGCCAAGCATACTGCAAAACATCCTACATTATGCAAGGCAACCCTCAACAACAAGGAATTAACCATCTCAATATGTCAATGATTCGCCATTGAGAAACTCTGACTTACAGAATTCTTTTATGTAGTATAGTTTTAGGCATGAAAGTCTTATTGGTTGTCATACATTCCTGCAGAAAAAAGCATGTGTATAATTAAATGTTCAGTCTATTTGAAGGAAATTTTTATATCGTTACATCAATTATTAGTGTACAGATCAGAACAACATAAATATCCCAATTTTGAATAAGTAAATGTAAAAAGTAATATTTTATTGAAATGTATTTCTTAGTGAGATTGGACTTTTTGTCATCTATTAGTTTAAGTTTCTATAGATGAATATTTTTTGCTAGAATCTAAGAGAGCTTAATATTAATTCTCTCCTCTTTTTAGGGAATTAAGGTCAAAACATCTTGTTCTTTTAGGTTTAGAGGGAAAAAAGGAATGTTTATATAGCAATGTCATTCTTTTTTATTTCTTCTGAGTTGTGCCAGAAATAATTTATTGATAGTGATCTATCATCAGAATATTCTTTTAAATAGAGTTTTTAAAGGATTTTTATTTTTTGTTTTCAGATTTTTTTTTTTTTTTTCATTTGCAATCACCAGAGAGAGAGAGAGGGAAAGTGAGAAAGCAAGCTGCCAGGTCCAGGACTTGAGCTGCAGTTGGCCATGTAGAAGTCCAGCGCTTTGGCCACCACACTACCTGCTGGCCCCCAGCAGGATATTCTTAATGCCATAGTAAGTCACTGGTTTGGTTTAGAAGCAAAGCATTGGAATTCTACCTTGGAAAGTTATTTCCTACCTATTCATTAGAATTATTTTCTCTTGTTGACCATTTAGTGCACTGGCAGTGACATCATGGAACAGTGGTCATAGTTAGATTCAGGATGGCTAAGAGATACTCCTTTTGTTAAGGCCAAGAAGGCAATTCCCTAGGTACTAAAGTATTCAGAATGGTGTCTCATTTAAATGGTCATTTCGGTAGTAGCAGTGACATGAGTATGGATGAAAAATGGAAGGAATAAACACTTTAGGATTAAAAATTATTATAAAAATTCAAATTAGAAATGAGGATTATTAGCAGTGAAGCTTGTGAGAACTGGTATATTCTGAAAAGATAACTAACAGTGTACTCTGTTTTTTGGCTTTTGAGAGATTAGCAATAGTATCAAATATCACTGCCGGTGCTTGTCCTAAACTACAGTAAGAGTTACGTTTGTCTAAGCCTGTTGGGGCTGCTACAACAGTCATAGACTAGGTAGCTTATATAGAAATTTCTTTCTCACAATTCTGGAGGCTGGGAAGTCCATGATCAAGGTGCTTGTAAAATTGGTGTCTGGTGAGGGCAGTCTTCCAGATTTATAGATGTTCGTCTTTTTGCTGTCATCTCATGGCAGAACTGGCAAGGGGCATCTCTCTGGTCTCTCATAAAAATACTATTCACAGGACCAGCAGTTAGCGTAATGGCTATGTCGCTGGACTCCCATGTAGTCAACCGCGGTTCACGTCCCAGACCCGGTGGCTTAAAACTCACGCCAGGCACGTGTGCATGTGTGCCCAAGATACCGAGAGGAGAATGGAGGAGAAGGGATTGCGGTGTGGCCATCCCCCCTGGGGGGTGATTTTTCACTTTCTGTCTCTCTGTCTCTCTCTTTTTGTCTGGCGAGCGCACGTGCCCTATAGCAAAAACCTCTCAAAAAATAAAAATAAAAATAAAAAAATACTAATCACCTCCTAAAGGCCCCACCTCAGTATGCCTTCACATTGAGAATTAGGCTTCAACTTATGAAGTATGGGATTGAGGAGGGAGACATGAACATTAAGACCATTTACTGAAGTGGGAAGACGGAGAGGAAAAGGATGAGGAAGGCACGAGTA